AGATAGAGTAAGGGGCACCACTTCCTGTTTCCCCGGGGTCCTGCCTAGAAGCTTTGAGACGGTATGAAAATCGGGCCTAATTGCCTTTCTTAAGAATCCTGTATTTTTCCCCTACTGTCCCGTCCAAAGTCATACTTAGGGAGGGAGAGGGAGAGGGAGAGGGAGAGAGACAGAGAGAGAGAGACAGAGAGACGGAGATGGAGAGACAGAGATAGAGAGACAGAGATGGAGAGACAGAGAGACAGAGGAGGGTCTGAAATGAATCCATTGGGCTGCACCTTGTGCTGAGTAAACACATAAGTACACATACAACCAAACATGAAAATGATGGTTTGGGGGAGTCACTTAACTTTGGGACAGTTTATATAACTTTTAGTTGCCCACAGAGAAAAAACAGCACAAACGGGTGAACCTTAACTTTACTCATAACAGATAATGATTATCTGTTGTGATGCTCACACCACCCCTTACACTCTGAGATTTTAGCTTAAACTTTGAAAGTCATGAAATATTGATAGGGTACACAGGAGGATTTGACGTAAGTGAGGCAGAATACTGCAGTGCTAGGCATCACATGTTTTATTGAAGCATCCAGTGTAGCACTCTGGGAGAGTGAGAGAAAGAAAATTGGAAAAAAGAAGACCCTGAAGATTTGGTGGAGGCTTCAAAAGTAAGAGAATGCCGCACGTCAAGGAGGCAGGGATGCAACTTTGCTGTCCCTAAATTGTCTGGTTTAATGAAGCACTGACAATCGATACAGCAAGTGCCGAAGAAAAATGGGCTTCAGTATGCAAGTAAATATTAGCTCTATGTCCAAGTCTTGACAACAACACCCTGAGAGGGCACATCCACATTTTCCTCTCTCTGTATATTGACTTCATTATTCAGTGTTCCTAAAAGATGAATGATTAAGAGGTTTTGCAAGCTTTACATTGAGGCAGGACACCTTCAAATATCTGAACTCTGACACAAAAGTAAACAGATGAAGCTGATTTTCTAGTCTGCATTTCCAAAATAAAGTCTTTGAAAGTCATCTTCACTCTTTTTTTCCATTTAAACTCAAAAGTGAAAGGTAAATATTTGCCTCGTTTCTGTACTGTTCTAACAGTGGGGAACAATATTGACATGGCACAAAAAAAACCTGCCTTTTACAAAGAGAGTCCACTTCTACAAATAATCAATTTTGTAGAAATAACACTCTCTTGTGTTCTTCCGCTCAAGAGGCAAAATGAGCGGGAAGCATCATTTTTCATTACACACTCGACATGCCTGAAAATGGACAGCCACGTTGGGCCTAATTGGTGAGTGAGAAGGGGCTAGCGACTGGCGGGAGGGTGGGTTGGGGCTATTTCTTGGCACTCAATGAGCCATTTACAGAAAAAAGACCCCACTGCTGAGGAGAGGAAAAGGACCTCTCGTAAGTTAAAAAAAAAAGGGTAAAGTGAGTGAAGCGTGTTGACTGGGCACAGACATCTGTGCCAGCAAGTATTTAAAAAGCTCGCCAAATGCTTTCTGGAATTATATAATATCATGTTGAGGAGAACACAAGATTAATCACAGACCAAGATGGCAGCCAAGAGGATGGCTTCAACACTCATTGTCTTGCGGAAATAAAAACCACAGCAATCAGTGGCATTTGTGACTGATGGCAGCTCACAAACACAGCTGCGTCCTGCCCCATTTCTTTGAATTTCAATTTTATGCTATTACAGTCTATGTCTGTCCCTGTGTGTCTATTCCTCCATCATTCCCTCAATCCTCTCCTCGCCATCTGTCCATTGGCCCTGGTAGCATTCTTATCCACCATTTTAATTTGCTGGGGCAGTCATTTTAGCACACATACAGCGATGCATTTACAACATGCGACTGTAATTGCAGAGAAAGGCAGAGAGGGAAGGAGGTTGACAAACGAGCAACTTCAACAGCATCGAAAGGCATGAGTCAGAATCAGAAAGTGTCACAAACGGATCAATCCGTAGGTACACAGAGCTTAACAATATGCTGTAAGTTAAGCTAGCTTGTGAAGTACCGCGCATGTTGCATGCATTGTGCTGTGTCGGACTGATATAGGCCTGATGAATCCTGGTAAATGTTGTCTGCTTCTGATCTGATGCAGCATTTATGACGGGAGGTGGGCTTGCTACAAGTTGTTGCTTTTTGCATTTTGGAAGATTCCTATTGGTGGAATAACACTACAAGATGACATTGCCTGTTTCCCCTCAATAGGGAGGCTTTAGGATACTTTCCTTTTAAGACACTATTCGACCTGCTGTACTGGCTACTGGTTTTTAGTACAAACACATTGGCTCTGATGCTGCCCTTCTGTTTTAAGTATATGTGAGTGCATAGAGCGTAATGAACAGGTATGCAATGGGAGTTTATTTTTGTTGAACCTTTCAACGCTGACTTCATTAGGCATCAGCACTGATTGAAAGTTATTTTTTATGGGCGTATGATTAGGCTTTTTCCAGCAGTGGTTGTTCTCTCAGCTATCTCAACTGTAGATAGCATCAGCTAGCTCCCTGTTTTGATGTGGCAATGATGAGCTTGTTAAACCTGGCTCATAAAATCCCCATGAAAAATTCTCTATTTCACTCCACGCTAACTCAAGTCTTGCATATGGGGTGCCAGGGCTGGGTAATAAATATACAGAGGGACAGAATTCAAAGATTTAAAAATCAGATTCTCACTGATGTGGCACACTCATCGTTACAGGATGCAGGATCAAAACTTCCAATCATTTTTTCTGGCCTTTTGCTCTCTTCCTGTTTGGTTGTCTCTTCTCATGCCCTTCCTCTCAGTCCATCTCTTCATTTCCTCCGTCAGACAAATGCATTATTCTAGCAGGAGCATTGTCTAACTTTTTGTCTGTCTCATAAAAACGTTTTTTTTTTTTTTTACACATACACACAATCGCACAGACACACACAAGGTATAATCGAACGCACACACGTTTAATAGGACCTCATGAGAGTCAATGGGCTAAGAAATGAGGCAGAGAGGCTCCGGCCAAGATTCTAGCTGGCAGGTGGAAGGACCAGCTTGATAAGTACATGATGGCTAAACACACAGGTGCCAACTTACTACGCATTTATGCTCCATAGAACAACCAACAGCTATCTGGTGTGTTGTTTACATCCACCGACGTGTCTTTCTGCAGCTCTCCAGTGCACATTATCGTTGCTTGGTGAGTCATACTCTGACGAAATTGTTGCTCAGGTTTGCAAAGACATCTTGCGTTTCAGACAAAACAGTAACCCAACCCCACACCTTACAGATCACAACACACATGCACATTATTCACACCCAATTGTTTGCAGACAAATGCACACACCAGCAACGGCAGACAATTAGGTCTAAGATGATACTACAAATACTAATATGTGATAGACACCCATTTCAAAAGGAAACGAGTCTCCACATTGTGCTAACTGATAAATAAATATCGTTAGAGTGCCCTTGCAACTACAAGCTTATTCGTCTAAAAGAAGTTTAGTTAATTGTGGCAACAGCAACAACAGTTGCCCATGCCTTTGAATAAAGTGTCATCTCCTTTAAACACGTTCCTCTGTGTTTTCTTAGCCATTCACCTTACATGTTTCCCCTCAATCACTTGCTGTCTGGTATTCAGACAGCATTAGAATGTGTATTTAGGATTGGTCTGTCTGTGTACTAATAGTGAAATGAGCCTTGTTGGTAAAGTGCTCTGGGGAACATATTGTACCAGGCATAGTGCTCTGCAGAGCAGAAGATTGCTAGTGCACTTCTCACAGGTAATCACTGACGAACAAGCCAATAAATAGAGAGAAGAGCCAACACAGATACAAACACACACACTTTGCACACCACCCACACAGAGAAATACCTGAGAGCACTTAAAGATCAACTGTGGCTTGAACCCCTCTTTCTCGACTGAGATCATTACCACTGAAAGGGAGTGAACACAGAATCAAAAAAAAACGACTCCTCCTTTCATTCGCTCATCCTGACGATCTTATTACTTTTAAGTGACCCTGACAAGAGGAGCGAGCAGAAAGGAACATGAAAAGCTGCAGATTCGCAGTAATTGCAAGCAGAAGAAATATGCCACGTAATGTGACATTCAGTTCAAAATGCAGCCTCTTGAATTTCGCTATCTCTTCCGAGCACAAGCTTCACTCATTTCTTGTCTGTGTCCGATAACCTTTGTAGGGGTTTGCAGCAAATGAAATGTAGTCGCTGGAAGGAGGCGTTCCCCTTCTTTGGTGCTGCAGTACAGTGCACAGTCTAAGTGAAAGAATCTCGAAGCAATAACTCAGGGGGTCAAAAGTTTACAGTGTTTTGCCTACAGTGAGCAATCATAAAGCTCTACTAATTTAATGGCAGCCATTTAATGGCAGCCATTTAGCAAGCAAGAGCATAATTGAGTGGTAAAATCTATTATACGAATGTCTAGCAGGTGATTAATATCGACTGGAGTAAGCAGCAAAACTTTGATTAGCTCAACACCCCAAAAACATGTTTTCTGCGAGATCATGTGAGACAGAGTATCACTATGAGGAGAAGCCTTTATAATCTGACAATGTGTTTTCCTTCATATACAAGACCAACTGCATATTGGAAGTTGAGCTCGTTCTTTCAACAACAGCCTTCCAGTGCTACGATGGGTTGAAGCCATTTTGACTCTGTGTCTGATCGTAAAATGAGGGGGGATTCTACGGATTAGAACAACGCCAATTAGACATTCACCCTGGCAAGGTTAATGATGGATTAAGCCATGAGTTGGGACCCCTTTGAAATCCCAGGAACTATTCTGCACACTGCGATTCTAAGGGACAAGATTCTTTGGAAACGCAATTAAGTAGCAAATTCAGGTTTTCTGATAGTAACGCGAAAAACCAGAAGGATGCTTTTGTTTGGCACAACAGCATCCAGGGTTCACAAACACTGTACATACAGGCAATATACCACACGCACCCATACACGCCAATGCATGAGAACATGTAGAGTACAAACCCTACCTGCACCAGATTCCAGCCCTCCAGGGACTCTGCGATGATGGAGGTCACAGAGGGGCAGACACCACCGAAGATCATCAGGTGTTTGGGACCGTAGCAGATGGCATCAAAGAAGGCCCTCAGCCCCTTGGCGTTGTCGCACTACAGACACAGTGAGGTGGTGAAGGGGAGGGCGGGGATGCAGGGGAAAAGAGAGAAGATACATTTTTATTAGTTTTTATTGTAAAAAATGGGAAAACGTCAATTTAAAAAAATCTAAATGTTAATTCTATTTTGCAAATTGTATCTCAATCCCAAAACTAAACATGCCAACATATACAAGTTAAAGACAGTTTATAGATGTTTTCTGTTGTTTTTTTGTCAATAGAATAAGTAAAATAGTTTAAGAAATTATTCAAAGAAGGGCGATACTCGATACCCTCATCTGTGTCTCCACTGTACGAGAAAAACTGTTGACTGCTCAAAAGGTTATTGTACTCCGACATACTGTGATGGTTGAACCACAGAAACAGTGGACTCACCAGTGTCTTGTTTATTGTTTATTGTATACCGTTTACGTAATATCATTTTGATTATTACACTCTCTAAGTGCTGTGGCACATACCAACATGCAGTAAATGCAGCCTTGTGTATGTGTGTGTTTTGAGACCATCATGTAAAACGATGTATCTCACAGGCTGCGAGAGCAGACCCCCCCCCCCCCCTGCCCCCCCGCTCTGATCCAGTGCTGCAGAACGCAGCCATTTCACGTCACTATAGCAACCGGAGGAAAGGAGAGCGCGAAATGAGAGAAGAAGAAAAAAACAGTGTAGGTTCCTATTGATTGCTACATGATCTGGCTAACAGGTTTTGCTGTGATTCCCTGATTTCCACAGTTTGTAAAGATATTCCCATCAGCAGTAAACACTTCCCCCCCTCCTCAGTCCTCTGTTATTGACACTCAATTCAGGATCTATTCCTGTGTGGCTGAGAGATAGATGGACTGACTGACTGAACGGCAGGTGGTGTGTGCGTTTGCGCCTTCTGACACACTCCATCTCATGTGAAGAGTTATTTCACCTTGTTAGCCATCAGTCGGCGTCTGAATGCGATGTTGCCACTGAACAATAGCAGCAGCCGCGGATTGAAAAACTCAAAATCAAATGTGGAGGAATGAGACTCCTAACCAGACACGTAGGACCGTACTGTAGGTCGTGATCTGTTGGTAACGTTATTAGGGGCATGGCAGGTATCGCTGCTGCAGCCTTGACACATCTTTCCATGTTATGTTCTTTTTTTTGTCATTTTTTTTGAGCGGAGGACGATTGTCTCGGAGCCGTAAATTGAGGTAGAGGACATAGACAACCTTGCAAGTCACATGTTGAGCCGCTACAGCAATCTTTCTGCATCGCACTCAACCCTCCACAGCCTGAGTCATCAGACTCCCTTTGTGTGAATGCCTTTCAATGTTTTAAGTAGGAGACCAGGTGAAATCAAGGCTTTCCCCTGTGCATGTACATTCATGCTGATGGAGAACAATGTATGCTGTAATGTCAGTCAAACATAGACTAGATGGTGGTTATGCCTCAGGTGAAATGATAGGGAGAGAATGTGATTAGACACAGTGGGGATTCCTTATCCTGGCCACACAGCTAAATAAAACAGCAGGCTATTAAAGAAGATATTCCATTTGCATACTCTCATCATTCATTTCTCTCCAGCTGGTCGTAACAAGGAGGGTTTGTAAGATTCGGACTCTCAATTGGTTACCATGCAACAGAAAAGAAATGTGGGCAACTAAACTTGTCGACGTACAATAGAGGTTGGTGATATTGCAGGTTTCAGCTGATTTATTACATAGAGTTTAATGAATCGTGTATATACAGTATGTGTAAATGTAGGTGGTAAAGAATGTTCCTCGCTCCCTCTTTAGCAAAGCTAACTGTTTTACAGCATTTGAAACCAGGGGATGGGGTCAGATACAGTAAGGAGCTACAACAAACTCTTATTTTTATAATCGATTAACCATCACTATTTACTCAAGCCCAAGGCAAAATCTTCAAATGAATTGTTTTGTCCACCAACCAACAGTCCAATCCCTGAATAGTTTACTATGAAGTGAGAAAAATAAAAGCAGCAAACCCCCAATATTAAGGAAGTGGAAATAAAGATTTTCGTTTGATAAATGACTCTCATCAACTAATCGCTTCAGCTCTAATCATGTGTGTTATTTTCTCAGATGAGTATGGAATCACTCCTCTGAAGTGACAGTAAGTGATGGAAAATCACCTGAATGAGCTTTTTCATGGAGGAAGGGATCCAGAAGGAGAAAGTGAAGTAAAGCTAAAAAGAAAAGAAAAAAGCAATCTCGTTCTTTTTGTCTCTAGTTCTCTGTTCACCCCCCCCCCCCCCCGCTTCATTCATCTTCTCCTACTTTTGATGGGCACACATGCACAAAATCAGTTGTGACTGCTCAGAGAGCCTTGACCGGTGTGTTGTCATGCCAACAGTGTGACTATCCACACTTTGTGCACTGTAGTTGAGGGAGGAGGAGGAGGCCGCGGCGGGGCCGGTGTAGAGATGGTTATATTTAGCCTCTGATTAGGTAGCACGACCACTCAGACATTAATCAATACTTATTCAGCCATGGAAACACTGTAAAGCTTGATGCCAGATAGACAAAGCAAGACAGATGGGAGAGAGGCAGCGGAGTATAATGGGACAAAAAGAGGAAAGAGGCATGGGGGTAGTGAAGAAGACGGCGGGAGGAAAGGGGCAGAAACAAGCAGTTGAATAGAGAGAGAGAAAGACTGGAGTGAAGAGGTATCAGCCTGACATTAAGTATGCACTAATAAAGCCAAGTCAACCAGTGTTATAAACCTGCCCTCCTTTATGACACCACAATGGAGTAATTCGTGACTGAGATTGGTTCAGTAGCTCTCTGTGATGCTCAGTAGCTGCACAGTGTGCCCTGCAGATTTGCCTACGGTCTGTCAATAATGGAAAACATTTTTAATATCAAAATCTAAGGCTATCTTTTATCGATTATAGTTTGAATCTTAAGATCTTTTGTCACTTAATGAATAGAAGGAGAAGTGAGTGAGTCACTGAGAGGTTGGTACAGGCTGTATCTTACATCCCAATTGTCTTGAAACAAGGTGGAAAAGGGAGGCAAATATAACTATCCTGAAAAACACAAAGAGGTTCTGAGGAAGAACTGGCACAATGAGGAAGGCATAGCAGCACTTGACTCCCAAGTTGAGCAGCAAGAAATACTACAGCATTTTATTTCCCTCTTCCCCAGTCGGAAATCTAATTCCTGGCATTTGGAAGCCATTTGGAGCAGATCGATGGGGTTAACACCCATAGTAATCTGTTTGACCGCCTTGGGAGACAGCCAAGGAAGGTGTGTGTGTGTGTGTGTGTGTGTGTGTGTGTGTGTGTGTGTGTGTGTGTGTGTGTGTGTGTGTGTGTGTGTGTGTGTGTGTGTGTGTGTGTGTGTGTGTGTGAGTGTGTGTGAAGGCTGATGGCGGAAGAACCTGGAGATAGAAACTCAAGGGAGGTATATAGCCATTTCTAATGTTGTAAATCCATAAACAGAAAATTTACTTTTCGGGTGACCACAGCATGATATCCTGCAGCTCATATGCACAATGGAAACTAAATCGAGTTTTACTTCAGTTGCTGGATTTATGAGCGTACTTGTTACAATATTCAGCCTGCAGTGCAGTGAGTTTGCACTACCCTTACCATTTAGAGGATATTACCGATATTACCGATGGGACAGCTGGCCAAGGAGGAGTTTATTTAAAATGCCCCTCAATCCATTGTCTCCATTTCTTTTCCTTCACTCTGACCTTTACAGAAAGTTGCTGAGATTCATCCCTATTGATTTATCATTATATGATGACATTAGCCTACTGTTATTGTGCTGCTAATAAATCACACTCAATTAGGCTAAATGTGAGGAAACAGCTGCTCAGGAATTATCTCATGTTCCATGTGATCATTTGCATTCATTACATATTCTTAATCAAAATGCTATACGGTCGTGGAAAACAGCACATCTTTAAAGGTCAGCATGCATCAATGCCGTTTTTCCGAAAATAACTTCAAACATCACAGTTAGAGGATTAAAACAGATCCAAAATCTTTTAGTTTTTTTAAGTTGGACAGCTGGAGTAGATAGAAAATGTTCTTCCATCAGCTAGGCTTTAAATATCTAGCTCATCTGAATGAACATGATACAATGCAGTACTTTACATTAAGAGAAAGCTACTTAAAACAATCAAAAAACAAACTTGGGATAATCTTTTTTTTAGGCTTATCCATTACTCAAACCAAAACACTAGTTGACAGTTAACTAATATTTTAATAATATTTCCTGAGGTAAATGAACATGTCTTTCCTACACAGCGTCAGCCACAAAACAGCACATATGTACCACGAGTACATCCTTCACTTACAGTACAAGGTAAGGTTTGGGTTACCCAAATCTTCCATTCTAACCAGCACTATATGTGGAACAACCATGTAGAGACCACCAGAGTGTGTCTTTGTGTGCATCCGTGTGTGCGTTTGAGAGCGTACATGTGTGTGATATGGTGACAAGAACAAGAGCTGATCAGAGCACCAGGCTGGTGCTAACCATGATGAAATGCCTTGTTAGCGCTGCAAACACAGGCAGCTGCACCTGTCCCTCGTCTAATGGCAAAAATTACTGCATCCAAATCAGCAACCTGAGGCTCAATACTGCACACACATGCACGTGTACTCAAGTACATACACGTGTATGTGTGTGTGTGCGCAGAGAGAGAGAGAGAGAGAGAGAGATAGAGAGAGAGTCTGATCTGATGTCAGAAGCAATCTGCCCTTCACACACTGTGTTTATTGATGACAAGACCAACTGCACAGGTGATTACTGAGGACAAAATCCACAAGAATCCCAACACAGAAAGAAATATTATCACAGGTGAAGGTTGGATGTGTTCATGTTGTTGCCTCATCTGTCAATAAGCTGTGTTTTCATTCACAGTTGTAGACAGTGTGTTAAATATAGCTGTATGTGTGAACATGATGTGTGCGATAACAACGTTACTTCTGTTCATCCAATTAACAGAACCGAGCAAGCAACTTCCACCCGTGGCTTCATTTGTTTTAGA